GGAGGAGCACGTGAAGAAAAAGAAGAGGGAGCAGAAGGGGAGCGGGTTGAGATAGCAGAGGCGGGAGGAGGAGGTGGAGGAAGTGGAGCAGCAAGCAGCAAGCAATTAAAAGAAAAGGAGGGCGACGACGACGACGACGACAACTGCGGAAGCGGAGGAGGAGCGGGACCGAATACTGCGAGTTGAATGGGAGGGTGAAGAGGAGGGAGACGGGTGACGAGGAGGGGGGCAAAATAAGTAGTGGATGTATCACCGCCTACTCCTTATCCTTCTCCCCCGCCCCTCCCCATCCACCTCCTCACCATCCTCCCCGTTCCCCCCCTCCTCCTCCTCCTCCTCCTCCTCCTCCTCATCATCATCATCATCATCATCCTCATCCTCATCCTCATCCTCATCCTCCCCCTCCTCCTCTTCCGCCTTACGTGTCCTTCTTCCCTATACGCCTCATCTTTCGCATGCTCTATTCCCCCCCCTTACTCTTCACATCCCCCGCATCATCCCCTTCCTCTCCCCAGTCCTCCCCCCTCCTTGTCATCCTCCTCCTCATCGTCATCGTCGTCGTCATCATCATCATCATCATCATCATCATCATCATCATCATCATCGTCATCACCACCATGGTCATGATGCTCCTCCGCACCCGTCCTCCCTCTCCACCTCCCCCTCCTCTTCCTCGTCCCCTTTCTTCACCTCCTCGTCCTGCTCTCTCCCTCTACCTCTCTCTCTCTCCCTCTCTGCCTCTCTCTCTCTCTGTCTCTCTATCTCTCTCTCTTTCTCCTTCTCTCCCCTCCCATCACCGCACTCTCACTATCCCCCCCACACCACCACTCGTTCCCATCGCTCCGCCTGCTCATCTTCCTCACCCCCTCCTCGCCCACCAACATCTTTCCCCTCCTCCTGTCAGCCAGGTATTGAATCGATATCAGAGCTCCCTGCGTCGCTGTGCATGGTATGTGCGACCGTCCGTTCCATGCGGATGTCGGTGCAACAATGTTTTCGACGTTGTGTCTTGCATATGTCTGACGAAACCCATGCACTCGCGAAGTGTCCTCGAGGTCCTCGCGTCACGTGGCTGATGCGGCGAGGGGGTTCATGTAGGGTGTCCATAGCGCTGTTACCGAACATGATACCCGATGCACCTCGTCGGAGAAAGTCATGTAAGGTGTTGAACAGAGAGCTTTACAAGGTCCAGCCACTTGTTGCGAGTCCTTCGCGTCGTTGTGATTCGAACTACGATGTGCCCTTGGCACTGTCGTGCGAGTGCCGTACTACACAAGAAGCGTCAATTTGCTGCCCTGTCGACGATCCAGGGGGCAACCTCGTCGTTGTCGACGTCGCTGCCGCCGCTGTCGTTGTGGCCGTCGCCGTCGCCGTCGCCGTCGTCGTCGTCGCCGCCGCCGCCGCCCAACCACAATCCGCTCAAAGTCGGTCCCCGGACCCCTCCCAGAGTCCGTCCGGACAAGTTTCTCGAGCGCTCGTAAGACATGTCGGCAAGAACCCCCAGAAATGCCCACAGACTCCCGGAGCAACGATGGACGACATCCGACATCCGACATCCGCGGGCCCCAGAGGACTCGATCGACACCTTTTCTGGAAGCAGGTTTCCGTCCATGGTCATTGTTTGGCGACCCCAGGGCCCAAAAGCCGCCCGCACAGGCCGAAACGTAAGAAACACGAGAAAGGATTGACACAGATTATCGCGTCGAGGGTCTGGGTTTGTTGTCGGCTGGTCGCTCGGTCGACAAGTGCCAGAGGAGATCCGCAACCCGTACCAGAACTTGGGCGGGTGCAACAGGGCGGGGTCGGCAAAGAGGGGGGTGATGACTAGGAGGGGGTGGGTATCATGGCGTGGGCCATGATAATTCCTCAGATGTCATGGCGCCTTTTCTTATTTCATTACGTCCCCAGCCCCCCCCCTTGGGCCGCGCACATGCCGCCGGTCATGATTTGCAGCCCCCCTCTTGGACGCCCCCCTCTTGGCCGCCCCCGAAACAGGGCGGGCCAGTGCACAGAGACGGGGAGAGGAAGCGCAGGCCACGAGCCTAGCCACTAGGCTCCGCACGCGCCCCGCCCGCCCCAGCGGGCTCCGCAGCAGGGGTCGCCGTCGTCCTGCTCCCCCTCCTCCCCCTCCTCCTCCTCCTCCCCCTCCTCCTCCTCCTCCTCCTCGTCCTCCTCCTCCTTCTTCTCCTCCTATTCCTCCCCCTCCCCCTCCTCCTCCTCCTCCTCCTCCTCCTCCTCCTCCTCCTTCTCCTATTCCTCCTCCTTCTCCTATTACTCCCCCTCCTCCTTCTCCTCCTCCTCCTCCTCCTCCTCGTCGTCGCTGGGCGCCGCGGGGGGCCCAGGGCCCGAAAGCTGCCCGCAAAGGCCGAAGTCGGAGAGAACCGAAGGATTCACAAGAGTAATCATCACGGAGATCTGGCGGTCGTCGTCGTCGTCGTCGTCGTCGTCGTCGTCGTCGTCGTCGTCGTCGCCGCTGGGCGCCCGGGGCGGCGCGCCCCAGGCCGCGCGTGAGCTGCTCAGGAGCTCCTCGCCCTGGCACGCCGTGGACGAGGCCACCCGGAAGGAAGCGGCCCCGCGCGCACGCGGCGCGCGTGGCGCGAGTCGCGCGCGTCGCGCGCACCCAGCTTCGGGGATATCCAGGTTTCGAGTCATCGAGGCTTTGGGGAACCAGGGTCGATGCTTGTTTTAAATCGGGCATGTCCCTCTGTAGGAGGAAGATTCAAGAATAGTGCAAAAAAATAGTCAGGTGACGATTTTTCGTGCTCTTTTGATTACTGTTGGTTACTTCTGTGCTTTTATTTTTGTCTTCCAGAATCCTGTAGGAGGACATGCCCGACCTAACGCCTCTTTCTGATTTCTGGTCCTTCTGGAGGCGTTCTCGCGGCCGCGGCTGGATTCCCGGCTAAAAACAAGTTCTGGTCAAATCACGGACCCCAGGATAGGTCCAAGGGAGTCGATTTCTTGCAAGACGACACGAAGCCTGGGGATCCGAGCGCCGCACCTTCCTCGCACGGGGTGGTTTCGCCCAGCTTCGGTCCCCAGGACCCTCACGGGTCGGCCCAGCTCGGGCAATGCCGCAGAAAGACTTGGCTGAGGACTCCAGATGCACTTGTCTACGGCATGTGTTCGTGATGTTGGATCTCGGGGATGGAGGGGCCCAACACCGATTCGAGAAATCCGCGCAGACCTCCGGAAGTTTGCGTTTATGCAATTTGTTCCTCGAACCTCGCAGCTCTGCCTCCCACCAGGATCAGTCAACGTCGAATCGAAACATCGGATCGACTCAGATTGTTCGTCGAATCGGACCGCATCGGCACAGAGTCGAGATCGAACCAGATCGGCTGCACAAGGATGCACAACGACGCCACGCAACCGTCTGGTCGCATCTGATCGGCGGGAAATCGACTCGGAGACCTACTGACCCGGGTCAATCCAGACCCGGGTCAGTCATGCCTTGCAGGAGCCTGCAGGATCTTGCACCCAAGCCCGGGTCGGTGCAGCCCTGGCCCTTCAGGATCCTGCGAGATGCGGCGCTCTGACGGACCCCCCCGCTTGCATGGACCCCCGCCTCTTCAGCCCCGACCGGCATCGAATCGGATCGTGCCGGCCAGAGTCGACATCGCGTCGGATCGGATCGGATCGAGACGGGCCCGGACCGCGAAGGAGCAGGCCGCGGGGCTCAGCACCGTTTCACGAAGTCGCTGCGGCCTTGCGTCTGCAGTGTCGATCTCCAGGGGGCGAGCTCGGGCTCCGGGGCCATCGAACGAGTCGACCGAGGAGGGGTAGCAGTCTCCGCAGAGGGTCGGGACCGGGCCCTCTGGGAGCCAACGCTGCGGAACAAGAGCACGACGTCGGGGGTCTGGGGCTCAACGCACTCCCACGCAGCAGGTCCCCCTGGTGGTGTCACGTTCTGGCTTTCCAGAGCTCCCGTCCGGGCCCTGGGGCCGACCGAGAGCAGGGCATGATGGAACGTTGGCCCGGGGCCCAGGCATCCGACGTGCTCTGTTCCAAGCGCGAACCCCTGGACTGAGTTCTCCTCCCGAGAACTTCTGTGGGCCCTCCCGTGGGACCGGGGGGGCACAGTTCGTCAACAGCAGTCTTGAGCCCCTGGACCCTCGCGGCTGCATCAGGCTCGAGAAATACCACGGAAAGATGTGGTCGAGGCCTCGGGTCGCGATTTCTCGCGATGAGTGGAGGGCGCTTCATTGTTGACCCCCCCCCTCCGCCGCCTTTTCAAACAACGCTAGACCGAAAAGGTGCGCAAAAGTGAGTCCCGACTTGCGTAAAGTTCAGGTCTCCTCTCGGGCCTCACAACGCCCTGACCCCCGCACTCCTCCGTGCAAAAACTCGCCGGGGTCCAGAAAGAAAAACAGCCTCTTGGGTTTTTATGATGTTCCAACCTTATGTTTAGCCTTGATCACCTGAAAAGATTTCGAGCACCAAGGAAGCACCGAAACTGGAGGGTTTCACGTGTCTGGACCCTGGGAGGCGACACTTGTTCGGCACCGTTCCGACGTTTCCCTGGGAGCTCGGAGTGATGTCTGGGACGTGGTCCTGAAGCTCGAGGGGGGGCCACGTGACTCCTGGGGCACCCCGAGGCCCTCCGGGACCTCCTGGGGCCTTCTGGGGATCCGCTGGCGAGGCCTTCGTCGTCCGGCCGCAGCCTTCCCTCCGGACTTTCTCGCGCCGGACCTCCCCGCAGATGGCCTCGCCTCGCGCAGCGAAGGCCTTCTCGTGGCGCCAACTTCGAGACAAGCTGCGGGGGCTCTCTCGGGGGCGCCTGGCGGCGAGATTCGACGTGGGCCTTCGTGATCGTGGCACCGTCGCCGCCGTCGCCGTCGGCCGTCCGTCGCCGTCGTCGCCCAATGTCGTCCAAGTTCCGGCGTCTGCCGTAGACGTCGCCGTCTTCCGTCCTCGTCGTCGCAGACTGTTTCCCGGCACGCCTCCTCCTGCTCCTCCTCCTCCTCCTCATTTATCCGCATTCTTCGATTGGATCTTCTCTCCGTCCTCTTCACTCCTCCCCATCCTCCTCATCCTCCCCCACTCATCATTATCATCGGCATCATCATTATCATCCTCTACGCCTGCTCCCTCATCCTCCTCCCCCTCCCTCCCTGCCACAGGAGTGCTTCGAGATTTTCGTGGAGCACCTGGGAAACCATGCGAATCAGAAGAAGGACAAGAAGAAGGCCAGAGCCAAGTCGCCCTCCTTGTCTTGCTCGTCCTCCCCATCCCCTCCTCACTATGTGTTTCAAGTTATTCCTCCTCCTCCTCCTCTTCCATCCCTTTGCCTTCTCTTTCCCCTCCTCCATCCTCCCCCCTCGTTTGCTGCTGATCGGGCTCCTCTTCCAGCTCCAGCAGTCCTCCAAATCAACTCGCCTCCTGCCTTTGTCATTGCTCCTTCTCATTGTCCCCCTCCCTCCCGACCACCCCCGTCACTTCCTGATGCTGTCTTCTCCTCTGGGTGCGATGTTGTGACCCTTGAGTTCATGTGCCACCTGTTTGGCTCATAAGCCACCCCGTCCGTGTTGCCCATCGTGCCGATGTACGTTCTAATGTGACGCGTGTTCGAATGTCTAGGCCCTTGGCGTCGCCACACCGGCCCATCCAGAAACGATGCCTAGGAGAGTTGCCCTGAGCAGGGACGTGGAAGAGCATGCAGTGAGTAAATGGCTGGGGGAGCCGTCGTACCTCAAGACGGGGAGGATGAAGGAGGAATCGGAGGAGGAGGAGGAGGAGGAGGAGGAGGGCGAGCAGAAAAGCCAGAGGCCTCTTGGATGCCGCTCGGAGTCTCGTCAGATGTCTTTTGAGAGTGTGTTGGATTCCAGTTGGGGCGTCTTGGGGGGCCTCGGGAGAGCCTCTTGGGGATCTCTTGGGAGACTCTTGGCGACCTCTCGGGGGCCTCTTGGGGCCTTCTGGGCGCCTCTTGGTGCCCTCTTGGGGCACCCTTGGGAGCCTTGGGGGCCATCTTGGAGTCATCTTGGAGGAGCTCGATCAAAGAAGATGGTGTTGTCAATTAGCCTCCCCGTCACAGGAGGCCCAAGTGGGCCCAACACCTGAGTAGCATAATTGATGTGTGCATTCTAGTCGACGCCTTCTTGAACGCTCCAATCTGTCGCGACCCCTCCCCTCCAGACCCAGGGGAAGCGATGTGGGGAGGGGTCAAGACATCTCTCCCAGGCGTAAGCTGTTTGGCTCACTCCCATCCTCCATCCCAACACATGCGTAGTACCCGAGTCTCAGCATAGTCGGAGGTCGGCTTTAGATGGGCAGCTACTGGGATTATATACAGTCACCAGGTGCGCAACGCTCGGGCGAGGTGCGCTACGCGTGCCAGACGCGCCACGCGCACCAGGCGCGCCAGGCGCCCCCTGAGAGGCACAAGCGTGCTGGGCACACCTGGTGCGCCGGATGTGCCACGTGCCCCAGGCGTGCCGCATGCTCCAGCCGCGTCAGATGCGCCACGTTCGGGGCACGCGCAGAGTGTGCCAGGCGCGCACGCGCACATCGGGAATCAAGGTGGCCTCCACCTTCCTCGTCGAAAACCCACGAACAATCGCGGCGGGGTGGCCACTGTGATTTCTGGTGGGCCTGCGCACAGCAGGCAATATGCCAGCGCCCCCGCCGCCCCTGTCAAAAACCAAGGCAGCTTGATCGCATGATGCCCGCGCACGATCCAGATTTGGCCGCGCAGTGCAGTTCGTGCTTTCCGGCAGGGATGCTGGCCCCGCGCAGAGCAGGCCCTATGCTGGCACCGCCGCCGTTTTTGTTGATAAAAAAGTGCTCGCGGGGGCCACCGAGCATGACCCGAGATTGTACCATAACGTTCATTTTGATGTGTTTGACAGGGATGGTGGCGTGTGGAGGCGGGGATTTGCACAAAGCAGGCAATATGCCAGCACCCCCGCCGTCCCCAACAAAACCTAATGATGTAAAGTGGTCGCGGGCCGCTCGCGAATGCTCCAGGTGTGGAGGCAAAGTGAATGTTGTATTGTTCTTGACAGGGGTGGTGGGGGGGTAGGCCGCAGGACGGGTAGGGTGAGGGGTGTTTCTTTATGGGGAGCAGTTGTAAACCCCTCCCCGAGAAGGGGAAGATGCAAGAGGAAACGCCCTAAACCACTCACGCCTCGAGGGCTGGTGGGATTTACTAGTCTCACGCTCCTTCTCCTCCGCATCCTCCGTCCCCTGCTCCTCCGTCTCCTGCACCCCTCTTTTTTAGAAATCATTCCTCCCTGTCGCACGCCTGGACGCGTCAGTACGGCGGTCCGGGCGTTTCGCCTGAAACTTTCTCGCCATTTATTTATGGTCCTGAAGCTTGGCATTTGCGACAGCTTCACGAATGGATGGCGGGTGGTGTTCAAAAATGGGCTCTCGCCTTCGCGCCGCGCACATTCGCTTTATGGAGGGCGTGTCCTTGTCAACATGTGGCTCACGCCTTAGCGCCGTGCACATTCGTCTTAAACTGCTGAAGCAGTTTCGCATATGTCGCCGCGGCGTTGGTCCCGACGCGCGGCTACCCGCCTTGGGGAGGGCGCCTCGGCCACCAGGGCAAACTCCGCCTCGGGCGCAGTGTTTGCTGTTGGGTTTGCCGCGGTGCCGGCTTCGTCTTCTTGGGCGCGTTCAGAACAAACGGCGTGATGACATATGGTGGCCGGGTCGTTGTAAACATGTGGTTCTCGCTTTAGCGCCGCGCACACTTGCTTGTTTCATGAATTTCTGAAACAGCGTAATGGAAGGAAGGTGTACCCTTCTCACAACGTGGATATCGCCTTAGCGCGCACGCTTATCCTGAAAGTTCGCATCCGTCTCACAGATGGAGAACGGGCGGATTTGCAAAATGAAGTTCTCGCTGTAGCACCGCACACATCAGTTTTAACATTTTGCAGCAGTTTCCAAGATTGAGGGCGTCTCCTTTTCAAAATGTGGCTTGCTCAAGACGCTGCGCACATTCGCCTTTCAAGGCTGCAACAGTTTGAAGGGTTCGTGCGGTCGAAGCCCAGGAATAGCGTCCTTGTATTGTTTTGGACTGTCAGGGCGCAAAAGTCACGTTGACTCGCAGTGTTGAAGTCCCAGGATTGTGTTCTGGCACAGTTTAGGGTTCCCGGGACGCAACAGTCATCTTGACCCGCGGCTTTGACGTCCCAGGAACGGCGTGTTTGCTTGTCTGAGGATTCTGAGACGGTTTTCTTCTGATGGGCACTCCCCGCAACGAACATCATTGTTTGAGGGACCTACGAAGAGGGAATTTGAAGGGAGGGTTGATTACAACATTGTTGATGCGTATTGGGTTTACACTGGTTCTCCTCCTCCTCCTCATCCTCCTCATGTTCCTCCTCATCCTTTTCCTCCTCCTTTTCTCCTCCTCCTCCTCCTCCTACCCCTCCTCCTCCTCCTCCTCCCCCTCCCCCTCCTCCTGCCTCCCCCCCCCCCTCTCCTTCTCGTCCTCCTCCTCGTCCTCCTCCTCCTCCTCGTCCTCCTTCTTCTCCTCCTCCTCCTCCTCCTCCTTTCCTCCTCCTCCTCCTCCTCCTCCCCCTCTCCTCTCTTATCCTCCCTGCTCCCCTCTTCGCATCCTCCCCCGCATTCTCCACGCCAGCCTCCTCCCGCCCTCGTTATTCCCCCCACTTGTCATCCTTGTCTGTCGAGAGCCTGCACGTTTGGTGCGCGCTCTCTTGTGCTCACTGCTTGCTTCCAGCGGTCGTCTCGCTTCGCCGGGCGAGCCGAGGATAAGAAGAAGAAGCACAAGGGAGACAAGGAGCTGCCGCCATGCCGCGGGGCGACGGGCCAAGAGGCCAGCGCCATGCTGAGGAGGAGGCGGTGGATGGGTCCTCAACCACCTCGTCGTCCTCCTCAGCTCCATGGCGGCGGCCACAGCCACGCCCATCCTGCCAAAGGGCAGCAGCAACACTGTCCGTGACGTCTGCCTCAGGGCTTTCTGTTGCGCAGCGTGCATGTGGCGAGAGCACGCGCGCAGCAAGGGGCGCTCATCAGATTTCCAGATCCCCCCGCCACCGATATGACTTTGTGGCGGCGCCGCCTTGCACGCTTTGGCCCCGAGCACGACGACATAGCATCCGATTCGAATCCACTTGCGCTGCGATGTTTGTTTTTTATGCAGTCGAGCATCTGATTAAGAAAACTCCTCCGAAAAGCTGGGCCGGCGTGACTCAACCAACTTGCCGGAAAGCTGACCCAGTTTCGTGAGCACGTTCGCTCCTCCAGCGTCAACAGCAGACAGTGGCCCAGGTTTGTCCTGAGAAGTTTCGAGGGAATTGGCCCAGGTTTCTCAAGTCATAATTTTCTACACACGCAGATGGCACATAGATAAGGAGCCGGTACGCCGTCACATGCCTCCTGAGCATGTCGTGCCCCCCGAAGGCCCTGGGGGACCCACATAAGTCCCGGGGCCGCTCGGGAAGGTCAATGCAGCCAGGTTTTTTACAGTCAGATCTCTTGTCCCGAGCACATATTGTACCTCTGGCGGCCTCGAGGATCGAGGTCCCCAGGGCGTGTTTCATCCTGTCAGGGCCCCCGTGAGGCTTCTCGTCGCCACGGCAGGACACGCCTCGAAGAATTGGTCAGGGCGCACGTCTAGAGAAGTCGGGGCGTGGAGGGGGGTGGGACTGGAGCCCAGATTTCGGCCAGTTCGAGACAGTTGCGCAGGTTTTTCAATGTTTTTTTTTCGTCTGAGGTAAGGAGGCTGGTGGTTCGGAAAAAATCGAATCGTTGGAGGTCTGGGGGACAAGGAGGAGGACGACGACGACGAAGAGGAAGAGGAGGGGGATGAGGGAGGATGGTATAGGGGGAGCTGAGAGAGTAGGCAAGGGAGGAAGGAGGAGGAGGAGGAAGTGGAGCAAGACGAGTAACGATGAGCAGAAAGAGTAAAAGGAAGAGAAGGAGGAGGGAGAGGATGGTGAGATGCGGGACGAGAAACGAGGAAGAGAAGGAGGATGGAGCCGTAGGCAGGAGGACGATTGCGAGGACGTGGAGGACGAGAAGGAGCAGGAGGACGAAGATGAGTACGAGAACAAGGATGAAGACGGAGACGAGGAACGATGAGGAAAGGAGGATAAGGGAGGAGGGAGACGAGAATGAGGAGAGGAGAATTAGAAGAACGGGGAGGAGGAGGAGGAGGAGGAGGAGGAGAAGGAGGAGGAGGAAGGGGAGCGGAGGGGGAGGGAGGGAGGCACCTATGGCAGCGGTAAACCGATCTGAGTGAGCTGGCCCGAAGGCGTTTCGCCCAGAAATAAATCCAAGGCTGCAGCTGAAGTGCAACGAAACTTGAGGTATCCACGAACCCGGTAAGGAATTCGAGTCAAACTTTTCTGCTGACACGCGTGCTACACTTTCCCTCCTCTGGATTGTCACCACTACTTCATGCCCTTTCTTCTCCCCCTCCCCCTCCTCCCCCTCTTCCTCCACCTCCTCCTCCTCCTCCTCTTCCTCCTCTTCCTCTTCCTCTTGATTGTCATCATTATCATCGCGCATGTTGGGCCACCTCCCTTCCGCGCACGCATTTCTACGTGTAAGCGATCCGCCGACCAGAAGCTGCCCCCCTTCACCCCTCCGCGCGCTTATGTGTACGTGTGAGGAATCCGCCGACCAGAAGTTGTGTCCCCCCTCTGGGGGCCGTGGACACGTGAAAAACACGCGCCCCGCTCGCACGCGCCAGGCGCATGTTGGGTCCCCCCTCCCCTCGCACTCGCACACATTTTCATGTGTAAGGAATCCACCGGCCAGAAGATGGGCCCCCCCACGCGTGAAAACACGCGCGCCAGGCGCATGGTGGCCCCCCCACCCTCCGCGCACGCGTTTCCACGTGTAAGGAGTCCGCCGGCCAGAAGTTGGGTCCCCCCCCCACTGGGGCCGGGGACACGTGAAAACACGCGCCCCGCGCGCACGCGCATGTTGGGTCCCCCCCCCCCTCCGCGCATGTGTTTGTCGTGTGAAAAAATCTGGCGGCCAGAATTTGGGTCCCCCGTGGGGGCCGTGGACACGTGAAAACACATGCCCTGCCCCGCGCGCGCGCGCCAGGCGCATGTTGCCCCCACCCCCCCCCTCCCCCCCCCCCCTCCGCGCATCAAGCATCGACCGTCGATCGATCCCAAGTAACTCCCAGACAGAGTCGTGGCCCGAACGGAGGAACGGCGACGGGGGGGTGGACGAGACGCGCGGTTGTTAGGACAGCCCAAACGAAGGCACCAATCTTTGGCGGTGTGAAAGGCGGTCAGAAAATACCCTGCGAGGAATTATCAGGCGATGTCGCTGCTTTCAAGCGGCATGGAGATGGATCGGAAAAAGTTGTCTGAGGAAGTCCCACGCGAAATCGCCAGTCTCAGATGCCGCGGCAAATTTTCAGATCGCCTTGGAAAGCGATCTGATTTGTTGTTGCGGAAGTCTCAGGTGGAATCGCATTTTCAGACGCTGACCCCATTTGGCTGTTATAATTTTAAAACGGGTAAGACATGCATCTGGAATTCCCAAATCGGCCCCGAGTCCAACATTGTCCCGGGGTCCCGTGGCCTAACAGGAGGCCAACCGCGTCTTTCTCGATCCCCACGGTCTCCAGTTTTTGATCCAGCGGGTTGTAGCGAACAGCATATGAAAACAAGTGCCGAACGCATGGATGCCGAGACGCAAGTTGGAGACCCCCTTCCGCAAGGGCATTTCTACATGTCAGATTTCGACGCCTGCTGTTCGACACCCTTTCTGGAAAAGGGCTCAAGGACGCCAGCACAAAGGGAACCCTGTGCCGGAGCCGTTACCTGGAAAATGGAAAGGGCCCACCCCAGATTTGGTCGACAGCATATCGTGGAGCGGTGCTGCAGCCTGCTGCAACCCCCCCTGAGCACAAGCCCTCATCAGAGCATCAGCGAGACAAGTCGGGTTCGCACTCTCATGCCTTCCTGTGATCGGGGCGCGTTTCGGCACAACCACTGCCACCGCCACCCCGTCTTCGCGGCCACCGAGTCGGGCGACGGCGACAGCGACAGTGGCGGTGGCCAGCGCGCCCAAGCTTGGCGGCAGGCAGCGCCAGATGGCGAGGATTTCGATATCGTCTGAACTGGACGATGGAGCAACAGCGGCAGCAGGGGGGGACGACGAGAAGGAGGCTGCTGAGCGCACGCACAGCCCACCGAGGTGCCCACGGTATCATGCCAGATGGCCGGGGGGGAGGAGGCAGGGGCCGCCCCGCCGGCCTTCGACGTTGTATTTGTTTTTTGTTCCCCGACACGGGCCTCCTGGAAACCCCAGCCTATTGGCGCGCAGAAAGACGTGGCCGTCTACGCCGGCATCTCGCGAGCAGGCTGCCCGCGCGCAAGGTCCTGCGTGAAAGCGCCCCCCGTTTTCCGTAAGGTGTGCCGCGCGCGCTGTAGCGGCCCGCGCAGACCGCCGCGCAAGGTTCCCACGTCCTCTCGCGTACCCATCGGCCGTTGAAGCTGGGCACTCTTGGACCCTAAGATTCCACTATACGTATAGATTCCTTGCAGTTTCAAGGGCCGCGTGGTTGTCCCTAGTCCTTCGTCCGCTGGGGACGGGCGGAAATGTAATGTTTGCCAAATGTGTTCTTACATCTTGTTTCTGCCCACTTCTTCTGGCCGATGGGTACGTAAGTCCGTTCCCCTTGCGCCTCTCATTTGGGTTTAGAGTCTTGCGGCCAGGAACGTCTGATTGACGCGTCGCGCCGCCCTGTTTTGGCCCACCATGCTTCAACGCGGCACGTTGAGCACGACCTGGTCCCCAGCCATCATCGTTTCGAATTGCTCCCCAGCCCCCCGCCCCACAAAGCAGAGCGACACGCTGTTAGCCAACAGGGCACAGCGTGTCGCAGGGGCCGCCGTCGCGACACGCTAAGCAAAAGCTCCCCACCGTGAGTCATAGGCTTGGGATACCTTTCGGTGGCGCGCCGAGGGGGGAAATGTGAGGGGGCAGGCGTTTTCAGAAAGTGGTGGGGTATCGAAGAAGCCCTCCAGCCCTCTGTGAAGCCGTCAATGTTTTCGGCCGGGACTTAACAGCCCAAGCGCCTCGTCCTTGGGACTTTTTGGAAGTGCCCTGTCAAGGCTGGCGCCCGGCGTCTTCGCGTGAGTATACTCTCTAATTCTGCTTCTGTTTTCTGCACCGATAAGGTGCACTTGGATCTCGGCTTACCCTGGCCTTCTGATTCGTCATTACGCCGATGAGGTGTTCCGGGATTGGCCCACCGTGGACCTACCAGCCGTTGCCGCGCCGATTGACGCAGCCGCTTCCCAACAGCTCGAGGTGGACGCGTGGCCCACCCGCTCGAGCGCTCTCGCGCCCGCGCGCCCCACTTGACCTTGTTGCTGGGGCCAGTCGAGCCGGCGACAGCGAGATACGCGCGACAGTTTGGAAGACCCAAAAACAAGTGGAACGGCCAAGTACAACGACGTGCTGCTCTTGTACCGGCAGATCTGCGAGACCGGGTAGCTTGGCAGTGTGCTGTTTGCCGCCATTGCATGTAGTGTTGTGTCCACGCGCTTCCGCTTCTGACTTTTGCGTTGCGTCCTGGCTCCCCGAACCCCGCTCCGATGCCGGCGGTCCCCGGGTTGCTGCGCACTTGGGAACTCGCTTTGCCTTCTCTGCCTTCCTCCCCCTCCCTCCCTTGGCCAAACTCAAGAATGACATTTTGCTGGGGTGACCGTTGGTGCGGGCACACTGGGGTCACCAGATGGATGAGCGCGATGCGATAGCAGCGGTCTGCACTCTCCCATGCGGTTCCCCCGCGGCTCACGAAAGTCGCGCGCCAAAAGTGCACTCTTTCCCGGGGCCGGCTCCCCCTTTTTCTCTCCCCTTCTCCCGTCCCCCATGGCGGCATCGCGGGCGTTGCGTCGCCCGTCGCGCTGCATTTCGGCAAGATGTTGGCCCCTGCGTCGGGCCTTCGGGCGAGAGCACTGGAAGTCTGCAAAAGCTCCGCCTTCCTGGCACCAGACTCCGACAATGGCGGCCGACGGCCTTGGCCACATTTAGGCACTTTGAAGCTCGCCCGGTGGATGACTGCATGCCTCCCAACCGGGGCCGCGCTGCCTTCGCCATCGGCAACCGGGATTGACCGCACACCTCTCAATACAACGATTTTCGGTGCCTGCGGTCGCCCGAGCGCCCGCGCCCCTGGGCGCCCAGCTCCGTGAAGCGCAGGTGCGCGCGCGCGGGCGGGGCCGCCTTTTGAGCTTTCCGGAAACGGCCCATGTCGTCGTGCACCTGCGGTGGAAGGGAGAGGAGGAGGAGGAGGAGGAGGAGGAGGAGGAGGAGGAGGAGGAGGAGGAGGAGGAGATTCTCGATGTATCCCCACCGGACTTTATCCTCGTCCTGGCCTCGTCTTGCAGAGGCCGCAGGGTTTTTGTTTGCTCAGGTCCGCCCACTCTGGCCGAGGCCCCGCTGGCGGGTGAAGAGGCCGGCCTGGGCCCAACCCTGGCAGCTCCCTCGCGGAGCCGTGCGCCCGGGGTTCCGTGTCACCGCCTGGGTCGCCGACCCGAGACCGCTTCGGGTCATGAGAAAATCCCGACGGGAGGAGGAGGAGGAGGAGGAACAGCAGCAAGAGGAGGAGGCGGAGGAGGCGGAGGAGGAGGAGGAGGAGGAGGAAGAGGAGGATTGTTCGCTATGTTCGGCCTCTGTGGGCACCGAGCTTCGGGACATTGTTTTAAACAAAAAACATGTGGGATCAAACAACGGTCCCGGGGAGTGGGTCAACGTCATGATAGAATCATGACGTCGGGGGTCTGGGGTTCCTCCCCCTGGGCCGGTGTTTGTTTCGTCCCAGGCCAGCTTCGATGACGGCCCCAGCCAGGGAGGGGGGAGGGCGAAGATCCGAGGGCCCCCAAGAAGGTGCGGGTGACCACAAGACCGTCTAGCGAGTCAGAGGGGGCTCGGTGTGGCAGTAGGGTTTTGGGACCCGGAGCGTTCTCCGAGGACGTCTCGGGCGGTTGGGACCTTCGATGCGATGACGGGCCGTGCAGTGAAGACCCTCGGGGCTTCGAATTCACCGCAAGGTCTGCCACCGCGCCGTGCTGGGGGCCCCAAGACGCCACAAACGTTTTCGGGGTGCCCCAGAGGCGTCTGGAGGCACCGATCCACACGCACACACACACACACACACGCACACACACACACACGCACACGCACACGCACACGCACACACACACACACACACACTAATTATCTCGAAATCTCGCCCTTCGGCCGATTCTCCTCGCCCTTTATTGAGTACAGTCGAGGCTGATGAGTCATTGGGTCGACCGTGCCAAATCAAGGGTACCCTGGTTCCCTGTGCTTCGCGACCCATGCCTTCCACGCTCCTGTGGCCATGTGGCCCTCGGAAGGGTCTTGTGTCCTCTCGCGTGTCCTTTCCAGTCAGCCCCGACCCGATCTCCCCCCCCCTCGTCGCAGGAGCCCCAGGGGGACGAGGCCGCGCCGGCCAAGAAGGAGAAGAAGCGGAAGGCGCCCGCGGCGCTCGCGCCCCCCGGGCGCGGTCCACGGCTCTCGGCGCCTGTGCGGCGGCGCCCGCAACGGGTGCCCGCAGGCCCTAAGCTCGGCTGTCGAGGGCCAGGGGCATGGTTTTTTGTTGGTCAGTCTGAAGTCGGGCACGTCCCTCCACAGGAAGAATGTTCAAAAATAGTCAAAAAGTAGTCTGGGGACGATTCTTTGTCTATGTTTGACTGTGTTTCATTTTCTTCCACAATCCGCCTGTTGGAGGACATGCCCGACCTAAGGTCGGTCCTGGCGCTCTCCCTGGTCTCGGCCCCCTGGGCCGTCAGCAGAAGCGGGTCCGGGACACAAGATTGCGAAAGCAGTTGGGAGCTTGCATGGCGGATTGAGGGAAACGCGTGGACGTGAGACCGTTGGATCCGATTCTGGTAGTGGCGTCTCAAGTATGGTCGGCACCCAGTGTACTGTCAGTTCCTACTGATGCACAGCACCCGTGCCGACTGTCTGTAGCAATTTGGTTCCGGAGTGCGTTCACGACCGACCAGTCAAACCATGCGCTGCATCGAGATGCCAGTCCTGCATATAGTCATCGCTCTCTGTGGCTGCTTAGCGCTGCCGCTCCCATATTCAGCGTGCCAATGAAAGCGGCTAATATTGCATCAAGGATCCATATGTTGTGCCACGTCCTGACAAAATGTTGCTCGCTCTTGGTGAAGCTCGGGTGGTCAGCTGTAGCGATAAGACCAAAACTGGTTTCGACATAAAAAGCATCGAGAGATGGTGGTAGAACTGGGTCTTCTCTGAGAGTCTTCCACACTGAACCTGCTGACACTCGGCAACGCTGCTCCTGCTATTGTTGGCAGCGATCTGGTGATACCGTGTTGCCTCAACAATTGCCAGGTCTTGCTAAAACATTCAATTCAGCGATCTTGGTGCGACATGGAGCAACGCACGTGACATTTCGCAATACGTCACGGGAGCGCAGCTCTATACCTATACAACGGGCGAGTGTTGGTGCCTGGCTATCACACTGACATGTTCCGCCAGGGTAGACAATGGGTACGCCTTCAAGTATCTGAGGCGTCACGCAATGCTGTCGGATGACGGTAGACGCCCATGGCGCCTCTGTGTTGATTGCATTTTCGGTCGGAAGCAGTGGCGAAATTTGAACCAAGCCGTAGAATTTTCAGATGGACGTGTGGCGATATTCGCCCGCGGAGTTGGATTCTACCGCGCTGGAGAATTTTCAGATGATAGTGGTGAACATTGGGGCCCTCACCACTAGGTTGCGAGGGGGCGACAATCAGGTGTCGTGGAAGCGACCGATTGATTCATTCTGGCGCGGTGCCTTTCAAAAGCTTACTCCGCGATCGGACGTTTGTACGGACCAGTGATGATGACTGGGCAACACTGCAAAAGTGCATGATCGTCGACAAAGCTTAGGATTGATCTACGACCATTCGAACGTCACTACTGATGTAAAGCTTGACCCCGACATCATGTCCTTTGCGACCCTGCCAGCCTCTTGCATCTGTGCAGCTCCTTGGCTTGTGTGAGTACAGCTTGGCTTGTGTGCGTGTCTCGTTCGTTCTTGTCGTCGAGAAGCCGACGTCCTTTGAAGTCCGCCTCTTGGATTGCCCACCAAATCCATCCCCACCCTTAACCAAGCCAGGTTGTATTTCGCAGGCAGTTCCGTTGGAGAGGAGACCGTGTCCCTCCTTCTTTTTTCTGTGGTTATCCTGCATTGCCTGTCCAGCCGAGCAAGATCCGATCAGGCGTAGACACCTGCCAGCCGCAACCACCCTCATACAAATGAGGCATTCCAAACAGGGCCTTGCCTTCGAGGATCGAAAGAGTTGCCATCTCTTCCTCGGCGGAAGCGGCGGAAGGTCGGCGGAAGTAAAACGAGGCCTCCTCCGCCGGCGGAAAGGCGTCGGAAGGCGGTGGAAGTAAAAGATGCGCCCCCAAGCGATGAAAACGTGTTTGGATTCATTGTTTCCGACATCGGCCAAATGCGCTGGCGATCGAGATGGCCGCTCTCTTCGTCCCAGGCCAGCGCTCCTCCCGAGCAGCCATCCTGCAGTGCCTGTCTGGCCGAGCATGATCCGCTCAGGCACAGCCACCTGCCAGCTGTCACCCGCCTACAACTGCGCTGGCGATCGAGATGGCCACCCATCCTTCAAGCAGTGGCGAAGCGTCCTGGTTCGCCTATAGCCCTACCAAACAATGTTCTAATAACCGATTGTGGCTCCCGCGAAATGTTCTTAGAACATTTCTGGCTGGGAGTGTCGTGTTCTATCACATCGCGATTATGTTCCACGATCCTTTTGTCCTTGGAACATCTTTGGGTTCTACGAACACTTCGTGGTAGGACCACAGGAATGCCGGGACGGTCGGTCCCTGCTCGACTGCAACTGCGCTTGCGATCGAGGTGGCCACCCGTCCTCGTCCCGGGCCAGCGCTCCTCCCGAGCAGCTGGCGCCCCGCTCCGGGCCCGCCCGCGCAGCGGCCGAGTCTGGCGGCGCGTGCAGGGGCCTACGGGCCTGGTGCCCGCCCGGGTGACTCGGGTCGCAGGCCGGCCAGGGCCTCTCGGGACCACCGGTCCTCATGTCTTACACATTTTGATCATTTCTAACTCTTCGAAAGTTCTTTGATCTTTTTGGGGGGCCAAGAGCCTGTCATTTCTACTTGTTCTTTTCTTGGGCCTCTTCCTGGCCACTGGGGGGCCAGGAACAAGTAGAAACGAGCAGGATCAGAAATGAGCACGACTGGAAATGAACGACGTGTAGGCCTCCCGGGTGGGGTCCGAGTGTCCGGTGCAGCGATGGGGCCGGACAGGCACGGGTCCTCGGTCGTGTTCGCTTCGGGGTTCTAGGTCTGCAGTCGTTTTCGTCCGTTCGCGGCGGCTTTCCGGCCTCGGGATGCGCTCCAGCAATTGCGCCTCGTCGAGGGCGTTCTTGGGGTGCCGGAATCGTTCCAAACGGCCGCCGAAGTGCCGAGATATGGCCGGGAAACCACCTGGGGATAGGCATAGGGGAAGCTGCATCGACCCCCAATCGCCCATGGATCGCCGATAGGGGCCCGATAGCCCCATCCAGCCCAGCAACGTGCGGATTCGCTATCGGGGGCCTATCGCCGTTCTATCGGCGACGTATCGCCGATTCCAGGTCGATGTTCCCTTCATGAGCGGGTCCCCCCCCTCCGTCGTTGCCCCGCACCCAATGATCCGACGCCCCCACAAAATCGGAGCGGCGGGTTTGGGTCTCTTTCGGCCTCCGGGTGCCCTCGCTGGTCCTCGGGAGTGTCAAAAAACGATTCAGGACGACAAACCGGCCCCAGGCAAGAGGTCCAGAACTCAGGGGGGCACGCATCGAAAACACTGGAGCGGACGGATGTCTGGACTTGTTGCCCCGCACATGAGCCCAGGCGCATCACCCCGACCCCCGTTCAAATCTGCAGATTTGGGCCCAGTGGCAGTGGACGTCCGTCCTGCACTCCACCGCCGCTGTCGTCCTCTGGCGTCGTTCATCCCAGCGCTGGTGCATTGACAGGAAGCTCCTTCGAGGCATAAGATGCGCGGACGGTTGCAATAAGGCCGATGCTTCATACATCAAGTTCAAGTAAAATTTGAGCGCTATGTTACGCTGAACCGCCACAACTGGGAGAGATTCCGTCCCTCCCCTCCCCCCTGGGGTACACATCCGACACCACGCTCAAGCGAGGTACGATGGCTTCCCAGACCTCCGACGTCGCGCGCGTTTTGCTCCACAGGCTTAACCCCTGGAGGTCCCGAACCCTTCTCCAGGGAACAGCGTGCCATCCTGAGCCGTTTGCTGACAGCCCCGGGGCCCAACAAGGGCCTCCCAGAGGCCGAGGGAGGCAAAAGCCATCCCGTCTCCACGTGTTCACGGCGCGAGCGGGTCACCAAGAGGCACCGATGCCGCTCCGTTACTCCCTGGACCTCTCCCGGGGTGCGCTCTGACCGGGACTTCGAGGCGAATCCAGCGGTGGCGACGAGGGCCTCCCAGGAGGCCCAACGAGGGGACAACGAGGGAGGGGTGGCGGTATCAGTACTTTTTCCTCCTCCGAGGGTGGCCCCGCGGCGGCCCCGCGGCTTCGGCGGCCCCGCGGCAGCCGTCGACGGCCGCCGCGGCTCGTCGGCGCGCCCGCAGGCCGAGAAGGCTCGAGGAGGCGCGCCTCCCTCGGCCGCGCAGCCACCGCCGTCGACGCGCCGCCGGCGCCGTCGCCGCCGCCGCCGCCGTGGTCATTCGTCGTCGCCGCCGCGGTCGGCGTCGGCGTCGGCGTCGTCGGCGCCGCCGTCGTCGGCGTCGGCAGCCTGGCCGCCGCCGGCGTCGTCCTCGCCGTCGTCGCAGTCATCGCTGTCACCCCCGTCGTCGTCGGAGAGGGACGAGGAGTCGCAGGCGGAGGAGGAGGAGGAGGAAGAGCAGAAGGAGCAGGAAAAGGAGAAGGACGAGGAGAAGGAGAAGGGGCAGGAGGAAAGGAAGGAGGAAGGTTGGGACTGGGAAGTGATGAGGAAAAGGGGGGCGAGGAGGGGAGGAAGGGAACAAGGAGGAGAGGAAATATGTTGTGGTGCCTTGCAGGGGGGTTGGGGGGTTCCAGGTGGCTTCAGGCGGGGTGGAGAGCTCCATTCCAGCTGACGAGAGTTCTATTCTCGGGGTGACGAGGCTGACCAGCGAGGAGGAGGAGCAGGAGGAGCAGGAGGAGCAGGAGGAGCAGGAGGAGCAGGAGGAGCCGCAGCGAGAGCAGTCTCGCCCTCTCCCCATTGCAGTGGATGGAGGCCCGCGGACCACCCTGGCAGAACTTTTTAGTGCATTTGGCACTGGGGTAGAACAGTCCCCATCATCCTCCTCCCACTCCCCCTCCCCCAACTTCCCATCGTCCCCCTCCGCCTTCCCTCTCCCCACTTCCTCGCAAACCACGATTTCGTATGTCGGGAGCCACGTGTGAGGATTTTCCGGGCAGTTCCAGCCCTCCCTCCCCATCCTCACCAA